GAACGTTGTGGAGCGTTTGGTGTGTGTGTGTGTGTGTGTGTGTGTGTGTGTGTGTGTGTGTGTGTGTGTGTGTGTGTGTGTGTGTGTGTGTGTGTGTGTGTGTGTGTGTGTGTGTGTGTGTGTGTGTGTGTGTGTGTGTGTGTGTGTGTGTGTGTGTGTGTGAACCCCTCTGAGCTCATTAAACTGTTAATATTTCTGTCTTCCTCTTCAAGAAAAAAACCTAAAACCTCACAAGATATTGCATGCTCAATAGCTGAAACACACAGCACTGTACACACAAACACTCACACACACACACACACAAAGCCTCGTAAAGCTTTTCTGACTAAATGCGTGCCTAGCTGCTTGCTTAAACACACACTCACTCACACACACTCACACACAGACGTACACACACGGCTGCAGCACAGCACTCTTATTTAAACTGATGCGAGTGCTGTCACGACATCCGACTAGTCCTATTTGTTCCACAGAAGCCTTGGCGTGAGAGTGCAGGGTCACCCCACTGGCTCTCATGCAAATCCATTCAGCACACGCACGCACGCACGCACGCACGCACGCACGCACGCACGCACGCACGCACGCACGCACGCACGCACGCACGCACGCACGCACGCACGCACACACACACACACACACACACACACACACACACACACACACACACACACACACACACACACACACACTTAATAGTCCTGCAGATAAGCAAAAAGACTGAGAGAGACAGACAGGCAGGCAAGAAGAGATAGAGAAACATGCAGAGAGAGCAGAGTGGAAAGGAAACCAGTGGACGACAGACAGACAGACAGACAGACAGTCCGATTCTTACTTACAGAGTTGCTACATTCATTCAATTTAGTAACATGGAGACAATTTTGTAAGACGTTTGTAACAATACTTATCCGATCATCTTAACTCATGTGAACTCAAACTAACATTATTGATTTTATGGGAACGTGTTTTGAGACTTTTCAGTCATAGGCTCCTATTCTTTGTGTATGTGTTGTGCTATAATTAGGATTTTAAGTGTTGTTTTTATTGTTATTAGTTATAGTTTCTATGTGTTGCTCTGAGGACAGCTACCCTTGATACGGGTAAATTAGTTATATACTTGCAGCGCTTTTAGTAAACGCTGCGCACGTGTTGTGGTTTCTTCATTTGCATGTGTTTTGCCACTTTTTCTTTTTGGGCCGTTGTAGTGCGTTTTGCCTATGTCGGCCATCGTACTTACGTTAGATCAAATCAGTGTCATGCAAAGTTTTAAAAAAAATTTGCTGACAAAGGAGTCCCAGCGACACACAACATAACAGGTGGATGTTTCGTGCACAAGAGAACTCAAAGAAATACCAAGAAATTAAGCTAACATAGGAAGAGCACAGTGAAAACAAAGGGTGCTATTTGGGACAACTGGGCGAGTGAATGTAGAATAGCTTATGTAAAAAAAGTAATATCCTACTACAGAATAAATAACTCCAAAGTGTGTGTGTGTGTCCTGAGTGCAGTTTCATAAAGCTCCTCTGTCATTGTCAGTCAGTTCTGCAGAGTGCTGGTCCTGCAGGATTGTGGTGAGTTAAACCTGCATGGTTGGCCATCGGATTTGTCCCGCACAGCCTAGCCCAAATATGTCAAGCGTGACAATATTAGTCACTTCATGCCAAAAAAAGAATAGTGGGTCATATGCAGCCCTCCTCCTCTTCCCCCTCTTAAAATTTGGACATTCACAAACACACACGCACACACACACACTTTCGCCTGGCGCCCCTCCCCCTCCTTCTCCTTTCCCTCCCTCTCACGCAAGCACACACTCAGCATGCTTCATTATACACACAACATAGCGTGCCGGAAACAGACTCAATAGAGGCCAAGCTCCCGGTCCCTGCAGGCTCAATGCCCCTAAAACACTGAGCACCTTCCCAAATTAGGTTAATTTGCCTTTGCCACGGAGACTGCCCAAAATACCGTCTAGTGGTTGCACAAACAATTATGACTGATATTTGTTTTTGGTGTCCTGACTGGGTTGAATAACCAGACTATAGCTGAAGTGAAATATGTATGAGACCCATTAAAAGTATGATAATCAAGACGAACAAAGAGTTATTGTTGAATATGTATTTAGACTTTTTCAAAACATTTGTTATTTGATATACCCCAAAGGGAGCTCTGATAAACCATTTGGAGCTATTAATTGATTTATATATTTTAAATAAACATAGGCACAGAGAGAGGGTTTGTTTCACCTCTCCCCTCTTTGGCACAATAGTGTGCACTGCACGGTTTGATTATATTCTCTGCCTGAGTACAACATTTCCCCCCCCCCCCCCCCCCCCTTTGTCACATTCATCATTTTCTTTCTGCAGTGGAGGCAGATAAAAAGGCACGAGAGGAAGGTATAGGCTAGACTGGAGTGGGCGGGTGCAATTTGCATCAGAGCGACTGCGTCTGCACGATCAACTGACGGGTCCAGGAATAGCACCAACAAATCAAATCAAAGCAAAGAGTTATCTCTCCTCCTGTATTACGGTGGGTGACATGTATTACGGTGGGTGACATTAATCCACAGTAAAACTCTAAATTTGCTTTGGTCAGCCGCTGAGAAATAAGGGCGACCATATCACATAAAAAAATGTCTGTCTGAAGACATTTGTAAACTAATATAACCATGAAAAGATTGGTCCTGTAAAAGCCCCTGCGGGAATGTCTGGCCGTTATTTCAAATTACTTCTGAGGCAATGAATTAAACGCACACAACCCAAACAGAGCATGGAGTGCGACCTATGCAAGCAGGGAGATTTCATCTAAGTCGACTCTAAAGGCACCCTAATTATGCAAATGTTTGGTTCATATTTATATTTAGTGTCTCTACTGTGACATGTTTTCATGCTTTAATGTTCAAAAAGCTCTTTATTGTTCTGCAGCACCTCTTTTCACCCTCTGTCTGAAACCAGAGCCCAGTCTGCTCTGATTGGTTAGCTGGCCAGCTCTGTTGTGATTGGTCAACCGCTTAAAGATGTCCCGCCCCTTAGCCTATCACGTTCAATATGATGGAGCACTAGCCAATAGAAGCGTGAGTGTTACATAATGATGTCACTTTGTTGACGAAGTAACAAAGGAGTCCAATGGAGGTGCGGTCTAAATTTAGTGCACCTGTTGTGTGTCAGGGATTGTGGAAAGACAAAGAGGTTGAGCTAAGTTCAGATATTTCTGTCTTTTATTTTGTAACGCATCACAGTAATAAGCCAAGTTTGGCCTCTTAGCAGCTTGATTTTATTGGGAGTTTAATCGCTACAATACATAAGAGTGTCAATATCAGTTTCATGTTCCTGTATCTTAGCGACTCATTTCCTCTCATCTTTAACTCTGTTGCTGCCACAGGAATGCCACTGGCCTGTTCATGTCAATCATGAAGTCAGTCAGGGCCCTTCCTGTTTCCTCCCCTGAGACTGACGGTGGTTAAATGGGTTGTGGTAAAGGGTCAACTTGCTCGAGAGGTTAAAATAAGAAGGTGGTCTAGGGGTTAGGGTGGCCTTGTTAGGGAATACCAGGCATTTCAGATTAGGAGCTATATTCAATTCAAATACGCAGAGGTGGTCAAATACCCAGATCTTGTACTTAAGAAATAGCAGTGGTGGATAGTCACTAAGTATATTATCTCATGTACTACTATGTTGACATTCTTTACTTGAGTGTTTTCATACTATATCGTTTTGAGGCAAATATTGTACTTATTATTCCACTACATGTATTTAACACTCATTGTTAGCTACTGTATACAAACACATGATGGGATGCAGTAATGTTATTTCAAATAAACATTGTTAGTATTTTAAAAAGTTCCACATTGAGGAACTACAGTACACTTTAACTTTGTAGTACATTTTGCTTGGGTGTTCAACTCTTAACTGGACTGATATCTGCACTGCTCTGTACGGGAAGGGACAGAGCAGTGCAGACTGTATCAGATTAAGAGACTGTGGTCTTTTGGAGAGCAGGGGGCACTACTGCAGACCTTTTAAGACTCTGTTGTCATAATGAATCGAATATACAGACTGGTAAAGAAGACCATCTCTGTCCTGGGGAGCCTTCTGGACACTGTGAAGGAGGTGGGGGACAGGAGAACGATGGACAAGCTGTCCTCCCTGCTGGACAACATGTCCCCCCCCCCCCCCCCAGGACACTGCACTGTGCAGCTCTTATAGCGACAGGCTGCTTCAGGCCGGTGTCTCACGGAGCAGGTCCTTCCTTCCTGCAGAGGTCAGGCTGTAAAACCCCCACGACCCCCAACACAGTACAGACTGCTACAATCTTGTGCATAAAACCTGCTATTTGCAATGTGCAATATTCACATTTCTTTGCAAATCTAATGTGCAATACTCACTGTTTTGTGCAACACCTTAATTTGTTTAAAGTACTTCTACTTATTTTTAGCCATGGACGTGTACTTATTTCTGTTTATTTGTATTTTACTACTGACATGTGCTTTTATCTATTTGTAATGTTAGCTTACTTTGTAGGATTGTTTGTATTTTATCTGCTGTGTCACTTTTGCTGTAACAATGTACATTTCCCCGCTACGGGACTATAAATAATACATTTCTAATTCTGATAATGACATTTTACTGATAATACTTCTTAACATTTTTAATAGGACTTTTATTTGTTATGGAGTATTTTAAGACCAGAGTATTTCTGCTTTTAATTAATTAAAGGATCTTAGTACAAAACTACTAATTCTCCATTTCAGTAATCAAGTAACCAAGGGATCAATAAAGTTGATTTTAATAATACATAATCACTTATTTGTTCCTTATTTGTATTATTAATCTGAATCTTTAAATAGCACATGTTTTTGGATTGCATGAGGTTGTTTATCAATGATACTCAGTCTATTGACGCTCATTAAATATATATTTATAATGCTTTTATTTGTATAGGCAATTTAGCTTCCTTCCTAACTCTGGCTAACTGACCAATGTACGTTTCCTGCGTGGTTACGTGACAAACAGTCTATGGTGACAACGTTACGCCGTAGCCATAGCAACAGCCAGAGCATGGCTCAGGACAGGAAAAGAATCAGTCAAACTTTTGGGTATTTTATGATAATTTTCGACTTTATTTCACAAGAGACAGGTGACTATGGGTAAGTGAACATGTCTTCTGTTTACAAGTCGAGTGTATTTAAATGTAAAAGCTTCATACTTGCAAGACTGCAGCGGTAACGTTAGAGGACAGACAGCATTGATTTGTTTACAGGTTAACGTTAGCTTATTTAGCTAACCTAACACCCGTTTTTAAGTCATATTTTACTTATCTTATTTTTTCACAAAGTGGTGGCCTCTCCTTTTATAAATAATTACGTACAGCAATGTCGAGTTTATAATGTCTAACGTTACTTTGCTTGCATCTAAACTGCATTTTAGACACTATCTTGGGACTTACCTACACATATATCAGTCATTGATAATAATTAGCAGTGGTGGAAAGTAACCAAGAACATTCACTCAAGTACTGTAATTAGGACACTTTACAGGTACTTCTACTTTACTCAAGTATTTTCATTTTTGCTGCAAATGTTGTATCTTTACTCCACAATTTTTTGTTTACTGATTTATTTAGTGGCTACTTTATAAATGAGGATTTTGACACACAATTATTTGGTAAAACGTTTAAAATATGATTATTTGGTATAGATTCAACCATCCAACATTATATTTAAGTAACTAAAACAATCAGTGGGTTAAAATAAAAAAAATTGGCAGCCATTTTGTATTTTTACAGGCTAGTATTAGTACTTTTACTCCAGTAAAGGATCTGAATACTTCTTCCACCACTGCTTTTTGGCTAGGAAGAGGCTGTGGGAGGCAGTAGCTCACTCTGTGGGGACTTTGTTTGGGAACTAGGCCGGTTGAAGTCCAGAACAGAACCAGTACAGAGTGTGGCTGGTTGCTAGAGGGAGGCCGGTTCACTGTCTGGGTACTGCCGAGGTACCCTTGAGCAAAATGACTAACTGCCACTATGATAAAACGTCCTGCTCATTAAATAAACAATGATCTTATAGATGAATTTGTTTTATTTCAAATCAATCTTCTTTTTTCATGATCGAAAATAATAACAGTAAAGCATTATTTGTATAGCACTTTTCATACATAGGATGCAGCTTACAATTATTATATTTAACAATATGGCAAGAAATTCACTTCAGCTAGCTTAAATCTTTTAGCACAAATGCAGATTATGTGCATGATATGATATCAAGGAGGTAAAATAGGGAAGATAACAAATAATACAAATAATACAAAAGTTCACAACAGATAACACACTCAGGAAAAGTAAGAAACACATAATACAAAATGAATAAATACAATAAAAAAAGAAAAAGAATAATAAAGTCTAAAGTCTTTCCTGGTAGGCTGGTCCACAGTTTTGGGTGCGTAGTGGATCAAATCTGCTTCACCCATGATGTTTTATGGGACTTTTGGAATATTTAAAAAGGATAAGATGTGTTGGGGAAATGTCTTCATCTCGTGTCCTCCCTTCTCAATATCAGCCACATGCTTTTTACTTTTACTTGTCTTCTTACTCATTCCGAATTGACCCCCCTCATGAGTTTACACGTTCGTGTGTATGTTCCCTCTCACGACTTAGGCATGCGTCCATGCAGAATAGATGAGTTTATGAACAGCTTGCCTCCCTCACATTAGACTGATTAATAGTTCAATCAGGGCTAAAACGGACAAAATGTCACGGGGGGACAGTTGTCATGCAAAATCAGCCTTTTATATGTGGGCCATTACAAGGAGGCCTGCTTAATGCTGTCACAGGGCGTTACTAATGTATCTGCCTTGTGTAAGCCAGTGATTGAGGATCCTCTGCTGCTTTTAAATACAGAGCCTAGAGACAGTAGGGGGGCAATCAGGCTATTAGCGTGCATGAGCATGAAGCCTGCTATTTGACTGGGTTTGCTCTGATGTGTGTGTGAGAGAGGCCGAGGCTGTACACGCTACTTGTTTACATGTTCAACGTTGTAGTGTGTGTATCGAGTTAAACCTGCCTGTCTTTGCATGACATAGTTTGTATTTGGATGTGTTCATTGTGCTTGTGGCCACATCCGTGTGTGTTTGTGCTGTGCATTGTCCTGCGTGTCCTCTCACTCTATTTCCCTCTGATGGTCTGCGAGGGCATTTCATGTCTGGCATGCAGCCGGGCGCAGGGAACCATCTGATAGGAGTGACCCATGGCCCTGAGTTACCCAGAGGTATTTCATCTGAGGTCAAGTGTTTAGTTGGCGTGATAGTTTCCCCTCACTAGCAGTAGACTAATAGATAAATGCCCTGAGAGCTTGCACACACTGACAGACAGACAGAGGCAGCGTCAGGCTTGCACTTTTCTCCTCGCACGACCTCCTGATCTCATGAACACAATACGGTCTGTTCCTCTGTGGCCTCTGGTACACCTAATTGGAACACACACTAAGACCACGCCTTGCCAAAATGTCTTTTCATATTACCCACACTTGGGAAGGTTGAATAAGTCCTTGTTAAACTTTATGTTGCCCCTGCGGTGGAGGACAGGCTAATGTATGGCTGAAGTCAAAATACCCTCAGCCGTGAAATGCCGTAGTCTACAGTCTAAAGGCTTAATGCCATAAGCTTTACTGATTAATCTATTGAATGGAGTGTACCGTAAATGGGTTTAATATGGCGGACATCACGCTAAGGGATTTGCCCTTACATTAACCTCAGGATAAGTGCTATTCATCAGTTTAAAAGTACCCCCCACTTTTTTTCTTGGGTAACACTTGGTAGAACACAATGTTCCAGGATGCTTGTTGAAATACTTTGATAACAGTTTTTTGTTCATCATTTTTACAATTATAACAAACTTAAGTTGTATTTCTTGAAGCTGCTACTGTTGGTCGTTTTGTTTTCATTCACAGTGGGTGGATTTTATGCAAAAATGTTAGTTAAAGACAGAAAACAAAACAAAAGAAGAATGCCTAAACAAGAAATAGACGATGTATTTTCCCCCTAATATTTCTACATAAGCCTAGAGTAAAAAATAACTGTCCGAAAAATCCCTTGATTAGCTAAATTACCCAACATTTTTTGTAACTATTATTTGATCTGATAAAATTATTATTCTATTCATAAAAAATGTACAAAGGACATATTCTGCTCATTTTCAGGTCAGTGTTTCCCACAGATCTGAAATATACTTGTGGTGGTAGCCGAGAACGGGGGGGGGTGTGTGTGTGTGTGTGTGTGCTAGTGGAGCACGCTCATGAACTGTTCGCCGGAGCCTCGCAGCGGGGTTACTGCGGAGTGCACAAAGCAGACCCTTCACACGATAGCAGAGCGAACAGGTACAGGAGGGGTAGAGCGAGGGATCATTGTCCACTAGTTAATCGATCGCAGATGGCGTCGTGCTCGCGGACGGATACAAAAATGTAAACCTAAATGGGTCGCGAAATATACTTTGGGGGACGTTAATATACCTGGGCGGCCCGCCCAAGTAAAGTCTATGTGTGGGAAACCCTGCAGGTTCATATCAGTATGTAGTGTCTCTACTGGGACATGTTTCCATGCTTTAATGTTCAAAAAGCTCTTTATTTTTCTCATACTGCCTGTGCTGCAGCACCTCTTTTCACCCTCTGTCTGAAACCAGAGCCCAGTCTGCTCTGATTGGTTAGCTGGTCGGCTGTGTTGTGATTGGTCAACCACTTAGAGATGTCCTGCCCCTTAGCCTATCACGTACAATGTGTTGGAGCGTGTTTGCAAACAGAAGCACAAGTGTTACATGGTGATGTCACCATGTTCCGAAAGCAAACAAATGTCTCCACTGAGGTGTTTCAGGCAGGGGGGGGAGTGTCTGGGCCTGGGCCTCTTTAATTGGAAAGATTAATTAGTATTGAAACAAATGATTAGTTGCAGCACCAAATGGATGTCATACAAACATACTATTCCCAGTATAGCTATTTCTACTCTTCTCTTGTTTCCAGGAGACGAGGAGAGATCTACGGAGGCGGAGCAGGAGGGGGAGGAGGAAGTGAAGCTGGTCCTTCACTGTCCTCCCATCTACCCGCTGCCTGAAGGGATAAAAAAGGTAGGCAGTGATTCAGAAATCATCTTCCTGAAAAGCAGGCGGGTACCTTACGGGTTTTCTATTTGAAGTTAAATCTGAACACCCTCTCAGGGGAACATACATCAAATCATTTTTTATGCATTCTGCTCGCGACCATGTTACCTTTCAAAGCTGCATGTTAATGAAACACCATATTGACACAACATATGCCACTTTTTTTCACAACCCATCCTGGTAAATGTTAATGCTTCTCTCTCTCCTTATGCTGCAGTCATCAATATGACCAGAATAAGAAATGGAACAATGTCTCTCCCTATAATATTCCATCTGTTTTAACATAAAGCACTTAGGAAGCACCATGGCGATGATGGCGTGTTGCTTTATTTCCTCGTCAATGTCAGGTGGCAGTTACATATTACCATATGATATGCCATATGGTATGAATATAAATTAGCAGGGAATATCTTCCTTTAGCACACACAGTCTCTACCAGTTCCAGCAGCGTATTCTCCGTTTATCAAAGGAAATTATTATCTATAAACATAAGGCTTTCCAGAGTTAAACGACTCTTATTTTCAAGATGACGCTAAGTAATTGCAGCTGATAAGTAAAGACGTAAATATGTCATCACGTTGCAAAATCATTGAGATCATAATATGACTCATTTATGACATTCATCATGATGATATAGTTGGCTTGTTTACAGCCTGTTTGATCGTCCCACTCCACGTTTATTGTTCCGTTTGCATTCGCTGCAGACCGTAGCAGCATGAGCTAAACTCTTAAAGTGCTTTAAAAAAAAAAAAAATGGCTTTCCACTTTGGTGTTGAATTGAATGGCCAAAGTACAAGCACAACAAAATGTGTCCTCTGCTAAGTGTTTTAGAAAGCCTGCTCTTTCATTAAGCATATTCACAAAGTAGTCTGTAGACTAGCAGAAAAGTTCAGTTTAAAAAGGCAAAAATAAAATATTAGCAAAACAAAATGCTCCGTTTTAGTTCAAACATACAGTAGATGGTTACCGGTACATGTCTTTATTTTAAAATCTATTGTGTGTATTGTAATTCCAACACTTTTAGAAATATAACAGTAATCTGATTATGTACTTTTTTGTGAATACTGTTACCTTTTATATATCCTGATTATGTTACCCTGTTACATGTAATCCATTACTCCCTAGTTACGTTTGTCTATTCTGAGGGATTTGATATACCAGCTCATAGTCACTCTATGGGGCTGCTCTGTCTCTCTCTCTCTGTGTGTGTGTTGCTCTCCAGTCATTTCTGGAATTTCTCATTGAGTAGATGGCTGTGAACAATACACCCCCTGGTATTATGTGAGGGTGGCCTTTCCATGTACAGACAAACCCCCCCCCCATTAACCTCCTCGGTAGTCGCTTTCAAACAGATGTACAGTGTTCACACAGACACACACACACACTTTCTTTCTGCCTGCTGCATCGTGGCCAACGGACCCCAATGGGAATCCATATTATTTATTGATTTCTGTGTGGGCATCCATCTCTCCCCCGTGTGTTTGTGTGCATCCGTTTGAGTTTTTCTGTTTATCATTTTTCACAACGGGCATAACCAGAGCAAAGGATGGAGAGACAATAACAAAGAATGGGAGAGGGAGGGAGAGGCTCATTTTGATCATCTGGTTCAAGCTGTACCTTATATTTTTCCCTCCCTCCGTCATCCACTCAGTCTCCAATAGGTTGGTAAAATAGAGGATGTTCTGGGCTTAGCCCCCCGCAGAGTACACTTCAGCACCATTTATTGGAGGAGGCTTAGGTAGCTGAGGGCGGCCGGAGAACAAAAAACAACAGAGGCAGTGTGCGGTGCGAGCGCAGAGCGGTGGGCGGCTCCATGTGCGCTGTTCGGTGTGGGAGGGGGGGAGTAGGCGGTGCACTAACAGGCCCATTTAAGTGCTGTTAATCCCGGTGTGCTGGAAGAGGGCTGGCACCGAGGTTTAATGGTGGGCTGCTGAGAAGGAGAGCGCTGCGGTTACACACAAACACCATGCCTGCCACCCACACACCGGGCACAAACACACAAACTAACACTGGCTTGTGTGTGTATACAAACACAAAGAGGAAACTCAATTACATCTACAGGTAGACACAAAAAAGAACACTTCACCACACATTTCAAGACAGTGAAGTTCAGTGTTTCAGAGTGGAGCGGAGATGATGTCTTTTTGTAGGCCGACCCATAAATTAGCATCATAAAGGGCTCCCTCAACAAAACTCAAAGGGATTTTTCCATTGGATTTAGGATAGTTTTCAAAAATAATCTGTGTAGCAAACACACGTTTAAGATACTTCTTTTAGCAGGATAATCTCCACATGTTAACACCACTTTGTGATTTTTGACAAGGTAAATGCAATCGCCAGAAGTAAAAAGCTAACGTTTGGCTATAAACAAACTACATCACTTCCACATGACTTCACGTAACCACGGCTAATGTTTGGCCTGATGACGTTTAGTCATCTCATTTAGTCACTTGTTAGCAACCGTGGTTTTTACGACACATAGAAGCTTTGGATATTCACAAATGGGGTATTTGCTGATTTACTTTATGAACAAAACCTGAACATCTCTTCAGCTTGTGTAAACCAAAGACCTTATTTCAGGCTTTAACCAAAACACAATAAAAAAAACGTTGGTTTCCAGACAAGGGAACGGGAAGTGCTAGAATCCTGAGGAGTATCCGGGTTCAGGACTCTGCATCACTCCATACAGGGAGAGACACCACCAACAGCTTTCCTTTTCATGATGGCTTTCTTTAGTTTATGTTTTGTAAATGTGCTTATAATGCACTGAGCTTATCAGTTTCAGCATTGTGAATACAGGCACATGTCCCCTCCGTCCCTTCCTTTGTCTTTCTCAAGGGCACATTAGCACTTATTATTCAGGGACCAGGCCGCGTTGCCCCCCCCCCTCCTTTCACTGCAGGTTTTAAATTGAAAATCAACTCAAACCTGCTTCTCCAAGCAGGTGTTCAGACTAAAAATAGTACTGCATTAGAAAGGATATTCAGAGAGCTGCGTTGGCGTGTTGCTCCAGGTAGCAGTGAAGAGATGAAATATGATCCAAGAAGTCCAGTTTCAATAAAACATCTACTGTTTAGGAGGTTTATCAGATGGCAAAATCACCGCCCAGTACTTTATAAAACTGGCACCATGTTAGCAATCATATTGTGTGGAAGAAGTACCCAGATAATTTACTTAAAGGTAGGGTAGTTAAGAATGGAGAAACCAGCTCGAGTGCGCTAGAATTTGAAAGTACACAACCGGAAAAAATCTGCCCCTTCCTTCAGACTTCCTTACAGAGCCCCTCCTCCAACACACACGGACGCGCAGATGACCAATGAGGGCACGAGATAAGTTTGTGCACAGATGGACGGCTGACAGGCAGGTAGGCCATCCAGTTATTTTAGCCGGGCCGGCTCAGATGATTGGTCGTGCTTTTTACAGCGCCACGGCTTCCACAGATGACATTTTTTAATGTATTCATTGCTATCGGGATGTTAAGAGCATTCCATGGAATATAACAAGTGTTTCTGAAGTGCATTACCTACCCCACCTTTAAGTCAAAGTAGAGGTACTACAGTATAAATATACTCCATCACAAGTAAGCGCTGAATTCAACATGTTACCTAGATAGAACAAATGTCAATGTTTTCTTGAACACTTATGTGGTTAGAAGCCTGAAATAAGGTCTGTGGTTAACACAAGCTGAAAATATTTTAACGTTTTGTTCTACGACTTAAAATATGTCAGTAAATACCCCACAGGAGAATTTTTTTAAACGGTGGTTGCTAACGTTAATTTGTCTAAATCAGACGACTAAACGTCATCACGCCTAACATTAGCCACCTTTAGCTTAGCAGTGTTGATGCACAGCCATGTGACCGTGATGTAGTTCCTTTTATATTCTAATGTTAGCTTGTTATTTCTTGTGATTGCATTTACACTTTAGAAATCCAAAAGTGGTGTTAATATGTGGAGATAATCATTTATTTGCCAATATTCTGAAATCCAACGTAAACGTCTCATTGCTTTTTGCAGAGGGAGCCCTTTGCGATGATAACTTCTGGGTCTCCCTAAGAAAATGTGTCATCACTGCGCCACTCTACGGACCCCTGCCATGAATCCTTGCTCTAATAATCCTTTGTCTACTTCCAACATCAAAACAATGTTTCATTCCTTTTTTTACCAGGCAAAATTATTCTCCAATTTGTCAGAGTGACACTTTAACTTTCCATGGCAGTGTTCCCGTCTGAGGATGAGTTGTTGTCAGTGCAGTGAGGAGCAGGGAACACCACAGCCTTTTCACACAGCAGCTGAGCACCTCTTGTTCTCCACACAGCGCTGATGCTCCATATTCACTCTCAAGTGTCACAGCCTGCGGAGCTCAAACACACCGTGTAACAGGACAAGACGTTCACCTCCAAGAGAGAAGGGAAGGAGCTGAGACAGGAGGGACAATCCTCCCTGCTAACTTCTCAAATGTTGTGGTCTGTGATGAGCTCCGAAACACAATATAACGGAACAAGACGTTCACTCTTTTTAGATAATTAAAGAGAGAGTAGAGAGAACAAGGAGCATCGTAGTGTGTGTGCCGGAGAGATTAGTGCTGTTTTCTGTTTTGTTTTCATCGAAGGAGAGAATCAATGAAGATCAGGGACATCAAAAACACTTTATGGCAAACGCATACATAGAGATAGACATGCAAGCTCAAAGACACATCTGGCGCTCTTTTTTACGTTATTTATCTTTTTCAAAACACAAGACACCAAAACAAGCAGAGATTAGGATGTGTTTGTGTGGCAGTGTTCTCATGTGTGTGTGTTTAAAACCTTGACATTAAGGCAAGGCACGTTTATTTATATAGCAACAACAAGGCAATTCAAAGTGCTTCACAAACAGAAAAGTCTTCAGCCTTCTAAGGAGATTTTTATAATGCAATGGGAAAAATGTTGACACCTGATATTAGCATTAAGTGTACATGAAGTCCA